AGCATGCGTTCCCTACAGACTTGATTTTCCAAGAGTTTATAATCCTTAGCAGTTTCACTTACAGAAGTCACACACGTCGGGCACGGCACGTATCTGTGGCAAGTGCATTTGTTTGGTGCTGAAGCAACAGCCTCACTGTGCTTTAAATTAGTTTCTACCAGAGCTCCACAAAAAAGTCTCACATGATGGTGCAGGCCTTGGAGCCATTTACCTCTCATTGCATGTGACAATGCTATGATACTGTGTCTGCAATACAAAAATATGCCAAACACACTTGTTATTAGTACGTTTGTTCAATCTAATGTATGTACAGTTTTACTAAAGCTGCCTCTCCCTATTGTTTCAGATCTAAGCCACCAGTTTGACTGAATTTCTCAGCAGCCACAGCCACGTATCAGGGCTGCACGTGGTGGCCAGTCCCTTGCTGCCCAAGCTGCTGATGTGAAGATGTGCAATGTAGTTCTGGTGCAACTAAACAAGTAAGTGGGACACTGTCCCCATGTCACAGAAACAAGGGGAAAGGTCTCTAAAAATCCCTTAAAATGATTTTCAGGTTTCGTAATGGTTACCTTGGTATTTTTATACAGACGTTGCTGTCACATCTACGTATGAAAGAGAATGTTTTCATAGTGTAAAATTACACATTTACTCAGGTTTGGCATTCCAGGGGGTTGCTGCTGGTACTCATTGTTTTACTAATTATCAAGTGTGGCAGGGTTTTATTATGGTACGTACATGCTCAGAAAAGAGCATATGTTGATGCATTGTGGTTTTTCTGTAGTTTCTCATTTAGTGTTGCTATTTTATCTTAGCATGAAGTAATTTATGGGTTTGCATCTGCTCAGAATCTGAGTTGGATGAAATTCTGAAACGATAATCATTCATTTCATTTGCATTGGTACATTTTGGGACACCCTTGGTGCAGGCACGTTGTGCCAGCAGGACAGAGTGGCCAGGCTGCAGAGCTTCACTGCCAAGGGTCAGGTTCCCTTCCTGGACTACAACTGTGAGGGACATGTGAGATGCCACTTCCTCTGCTCTCCCCGTTCTGACGTTAGTGTCTCAGTTCTTTGCACATCCTATGCTCCATAGGCCAGCAAGAATACTTGCATTTCTGTCATACTGTACATGTAAAGATAAAGTTATTAACCCAAGTAGGATTTATTTCTGTGAACTTTACAGTGTTGTGATCTCTTCTGGTGTTGCACAGAAGACCAGTTGTACGAGGACAAGTCCAAGGCCATCCAAGAGTAAGAGAATGCTAATATTCCTTCACTGCTCCACAAGTATTGCAGTTTATCCCAATAAAACCTGCCTTCCTAGCAGGTGGGACGGGAATACCGTGTAGGTGGGTGACACACCGGGGCTGCAGTGTGGAGAGAAGCTCAGCACCAGTCTGCCTGTTGGCACAGGCAGATGAAACCTGCCTCCCAGACCAACTTCCTCGCTCACCTTGTTCTGCTCATCTCTCCGTGCGCACTCACCGCACACCGGCACAAGCTGAGAGCTTTGCGGGGCGCGGAAATCGAAGGTCCCTTTGAGCCACAGCATCA